TTAAGTTCTGTTTTTGCAACCTATTTTTTGACACAATTGATCATTTCCTCATTTGTTGGACTTACTGTTTATTCTCTGACCACGGAACGGCTTCTTCTGGGTACAGCTGGTAGAATTGTTGCCTGTTGATGGCTTTGTCCTTTTCTAACTGCTGAAGGTAGCTGATGACCTTCTTCCTGTAGCTGCTGGTGGAGTATTTCTTCAATGATTGATAGGTGGCTGAGTGACTGAGGAGGGCTTTAACTTTGGTAGTCGGCTGTGTCAGGTTCTACTGTGCATCTTCTTTGTCCGCTGGTAGTATGATGATATACTTGTTTCTTTGGAGGGCTGTCAGAGCTTTCCTGTCCAGAAGGGTCAGGTTTGAAGGCGGAGCCTTTGAACTGGAGAGAGATGCAGTGACCTTTAGCCTAAGTTGTTCATCTTCTGTGGAGGTCAGCTTATTGTTTCAGGAATGTCTCTGTGGCTGTGGTGAGGTCCACTGTGGAGGATTTGTGCAGGAAACTGCAAACTTCAGACTCACTCTAAATTGAATTTGTCACGTCTGAATTCAGGATTCAATCCAGTTTATCCCATTACTATGGAAACCCGGAGACAATCAGTCTGAAAGAAACTGCACTACACCTACAATCCAGCGGGCTGCAATGATGAGAACATACATTTGGTTCTCCCTTCATCTCCAGTGCCGACCAGCTAGACGCTAATCCTTAACCTTATAAAGTTTACTTCATTTTTTAATCACCTGCATCTGGACAGATTTGGTTTTTAACTGGGGAATTAATATAAAAAAAAAACACTTAAAGCCTATCGGCACAGTTACAGTGGCTAAAATAAGTATTGAACACGCCACCATTTTTCTCAGTATATATATATATTTCTAGAGGTGTTATTGATATGACATTTTCAGCAGATGTCAGAACAATCCATGCAATCCAAAGAAACAAAGAAAACAAACCGTAGATGTTCAGAAATGTAGTTATGTGTAATAATGTTGAATGGAACGGCTAAAAAAAGCACAGAACACTCTTACTGAAATTTCTTTAATACTTTTTGGCAATGATGGCTTCAAGATGGCTGCTTTATGGAGAAATGTGTCACGCATGTGCCAGGGTTGGTTGGAAGTTTGTTTAGGACCTAAATATAGAGATGAGGCGGCAGAGTTCTTGTATTGTCTTATTTTAAGTGCATATTATCTAGGTATCTTATTTTAAGAGTAGAAATAGTTATTTCATTGGCAAATCATCTTATTTACCTGCTCAAATTAAGGGTAAATACACGTAATTCAAGACATTTTTGCTTATTTCTAGATCATTGCAGTGCAGATGATTACTTTAAATATCTTTGTTTAAACGTCTTTAAACTGTTTGAAATTAATACCGACGTTGACCTACAGTGTTAAAACTTTCTGATGAGACAATGAATGTTATATTCTGGTACCAGTAGTTTTTACCACATTACTCATTAACTGTTTCTTTTGCCTTTCAGTCACTACAGACAATTAAAGACAGCAGAAAATCCTAGAGTCCGTGGCTGAGAAAGCTCTCTCTTGGGATTCCCACTACTACTAGCACTCAGTTAGCCTAGCACCCAGTTTGGACTATCAGAGGCGCTCTGCCACTAAAGATAGTACAATCATTATCTTGATCAACTGACCAATCAGATTAAGTTTTGAAGTGTAATTTCCCACTTGAATATATATTTAAAGGACTTTTGAATTAACAGGTAATGACCGGATGACCAGTTTCTTGAAAAACTGAGGGGCTACTTTTTTTTTTCTTTTCCGAGTTTTTACGGCACTAGTGGCTAATTTTTTTTACCGTAGGCTGACAGGAAAGGGGTATGAGAGAGGGGGAGAGGCATGCTGCAAAGAACCCCAGGTCAGATTCCAACCCAGCTCGTCCACCATCCCTAATGACATACATTAAAGAGATGTTCCACCAAGTCAGAGTAGCTCAGGAACATGTAAATTACCTTTGTTTTCTCTGGTGGTCCAGCGGTAACATTACAAAGGAGCTTATTGAGCCTAGAATGTTGATCCATATATTTGGCGCAGTATCCTCACTCTTAAAGACTGCTGATGACAACCAGCATGGATGCACAAGAGGTTATAAGTACAATCAGGCACAGTTTCTATGTATGTTCTAGTCTGTTGAACAGGACTTTTGTCTTTATCAGAAGAGTTCTGTGCAAAAGGTGT